CAAAACTCATTTTTGTCAAGTTTATAGGTACAAAAATGCCTGTCCTGCATGGCGCCCCGTAATAATCGTCTTGGACCAACGTAGTATATAGGTTTGTACGTCATGACACGAATCGACAACCGAAAGGCTGATACATTCTTTCGTGACTAGGGCCAGTTATGATTCTTATCAGACGCCGGATATCAAATCATTATAATTAATAAGATGACGCTAGAATAATACTGGTGTCTACCTAAATGCATGCCTGTTATATATTCTCATAACGGCGCATTTCACAGCAAAACTGTTTATTAACAATGCTCACTATGATTTGTGTAAAGTTACACTTATTTACTTCATACGATCCGCAACTACAAATGCTGGATAAAATATATTATATATAATATATATATAAACCCAAGATGCTGGATGAACAACATAATCAGGGGTCACGTGAGTTGGTGATTTAGCTACCTTACAATATTATAAAATCGGTAGTACGAGTCTCTTTCCTTTATAAGCGATAATTGCCTTTTAATAAACACATGTCAGCGGTTAGTTATATATATCACAAGTTAATTACATTTTTACTAGTATAGGTATAGTACATACCTATATATATATATTATATAGTTACAAGTATAAAATTGCATAGATAAAGAATCCAAAAAATTGTTGGAATGAACAGATCAGCACTGTTTTTCCGACCCCTACATTTAAGCATGACAACCTTCGTAAAGTGATTGTATCGCTGTTACGATAAGGCAGTTATAGTTACGTTAGTTATCCTAACAACTATATATCATTGGGGTTTTCTAACTAACTACTTTAATATACTAGATTCATATCAGCAACAAACCCCGATCTGTCAAGATTAGAATAGCCGGTTACAAAAATATATGTATAACAATACAAGTATTCTTGCTATCCGACGCCCGGATTAAGTTGTGTTCTATAACGGATAGGCACCATTGAGAGCATATTATTCGCTTGCGCATCCAATACGACCGCCAATACGTGCGCACACACACGCACGCACGCACGCACACACACACGCGCACGAATACACACGCACGCACACACACACGCACACGAATACACACGCACGCACGTGTGCACGCATAGAACATCGTATCCTTATCCTGCAAGTAATGTGTCACCTTGCAATTTGTCTAGTCACATGCCGACACAACACACGACTAAATTCTTAAACAATACGTTGGGATTTTAGGAACTTAAAACAATAAATAAATGTCACTGTAGTGAACCTAATAATCGAAACGCGATCCACGATAGCTTTATCCATATAACTATGATAACTATATAACTATATTGTAACTATTATAACTAATAAAA